CACGCCCAACGCTGACCCGCAAGCCCGTAAACCACGCAAAACAAGGTTAAGAGCTGCACACAAAAACAACCACCACCACCACCACCAACAACAACAACAACAACCACCACAACCACAACCACAACCACAAGCACAACCACAGCACAACCACTGTTACAACTTTTGCTACCACGATTGGCACTGTTATACTTCCAGTTGTCGCACCACTACTGTTCTAGAATTACTTTTTTGCTTTCTGCACACGTGAGCACACAACCGTGTACACGGAAGTGAACAGGTGTGTAGTGGTGAGGATTTGGGGCTTCGGGCTTAGAATTTAAGGTTTAGGGTTGAAGGTTTCGAGTTTAAAGTTTAGGGCTTAGGGCTTAATTAGGGGTTAGCGGTCGCGAGCGTACCGACGCGTCTTCGCCGTGGGGACGCAAACAAGTGTGTACACGTGCACAAACAGGAGTGTCTGCGGCCTCACGTACTTGTGTACATTGGAACATGGAGGTGTGTCTGCGGGCGCACATAGGTGTGCATGAGGTAGCACACATGTCTGTGTGCGGCGTGAGCACGGAGATGTGCTCCCGTGCACGCAGGTGTGTGCACAAAAGTGTCTGCGCAAGAGGACACAAGAAAGTGTGTGTGTGTGTGTTTGTGTCTGTGTGTGTGTGTAGCTGTTTTCCTAGGAATGCCAGCCCTCTGGCCTGAAGCATTTGCACCGAAATGCTTCTTTTGCTGAGTCCAAAGTTGCATATGAAGCCCCAAAACCCTCGAGGAGAATTTCGTGGACCAACCCAAACCCTTGAAGCACATCGAGCTGGCATTTCCGTGAGCCGCGCATTGGGCCCGACTAAGGGCCAAGGAGCTCTGTCATTGTGACTGTTGGCACGGAACACGCTGAAATACCACGAGCGCAACAATCAGAAAAGCTAAAACTGTTCTGACTAAAGCTGTTCTGACATGAATGTGAATCAAGTTATCAAGACCCTAAGCCCTAAACTCTAAAACCCTAAACCCCAAAATCAAGCCGGCGTATTGACCTTGCATCCGCGACTCGGGGGCTGCAGATTCAGCGGTAAGACCAACTGAACCAATACCAGCCGCAACGACTGAAACTTCTCCTGGCCATATGTATATGTATATATATATATACACATGTACATATATACATATATATATATACACATGTGCTTACATGTATATATATATATACATGTCTGTATATAAATATAAATATATATACATATATATATATATGTATATATATATATACGTATGGTATATACACGCAGACACCTATACATGAACATACATACATACATACATCCGTGCATACACATACACATACACACATACACATACACATACACATACACATACACATACACATACACATACACATACACATACAAACATACACATGCACACACACACATACACACATACACACATACACACATACACACATACACACATACACACATACATACATACATACATACATACATACATACATGTCAGCATAATGACAGTTTTGAAAGTACCAGTTCACATTCCAATGTTTGGCGCCTGGGGCTTCAAGTAGGCTGGTCTGCGGCTGGGGCTTTGGGTTCTACAGTCCCCGTGACTTGATACACAAATTTCCAAACTCCAAAGCAAGATCCATAGAAGCAGTGCCGGTTCAAACTGGAAATTAACCCCCAACAAGCCTTCGAATGAGAGATGTCGAAGCTGTCGAGGAAGCACGCTAAGAGGGAGCGAAGTTCATTTTTGTCATTGTTTCTGGTTTTTTGTTGTGATTGGTTCTGGTGTTGGTTGCTGTTCTTGTGGTGTTCGGAACATGGCCTCCTGGTCCTGCCTGTCCTCCTCTTCTGCTTGGCAATCTTGGTTTGTCTATGTTTTGGTTTTTTGTTTGTTGGTCTTTCGGGTTTCATGCTTCCACAGGCCTCTCAGCGGTACCTCGTCCCCAGAATCTGGTTTGTTGGTTTTCTAATCTCATTTGGCGATTTTCTGAAAACGTGAAAACTTTTTTACAAGTCGCGTAATTGACACAATTCTTCTTGATGGCGATGCATGGCATTAACAAGGCTCTCTTTCTTCTCTTCTTCTTCCCTTCTGACCTTTGCCACTTGCTTGTTCCTTGCTTCTCCGCTGTCCCTCCCACCTTATCATTTCTGCTTTGTTTGTCCTTCTTGTCTGTATCTCAAACACGCCCCCTCATTTGCCGATTTCGGTTCATCATCATCATCATCGTCATCATCATCATCATATCATCATTATCATCATATATGTATATATAGATTGAGCACGACCTCTCATTTGGCCGTTGCAGTTCATCACACATATACTTAAACACGCCCCCTCATTTGGCGATTCCGGTTCATCGTATATCTTAAGCCCAGCCCCTCATTTGGAGTTGAGTTTCGGCTCATCATCATCATCATCGTCATCATCGTCATCATCATCATCATCATATATATATATAGTACACATGCCCCCTCAGATGGCGATTCCTGTTCATCATACATCTTAAGCACGCTCCCCCATGTGGCGATTCCGGTACATCATATTATATCTTACACATACTCTCATATGGCGATTCCGGTTAATCTTATATCTTAAACGCGCTCCCTCATGCGGCGATGGGGGGTCCAAAAATCCCCGCACCAGTGAGGCGGAGGGGTTGGCTTGACAAAAAGCGGGATTAGGGCGCAGCCCTCCTTTGCAAACCCAATTTATGTGTGTATCACCGGTTCTGAAAGGGTCCATATTGGCTCTTTTTGCTGGCAGGATAACGCTTGAAGCGAGCTTGCGCGACTCAACAAAAGGCGGAAGAGGGGGCCGTTTGTAGGCAGAATGCCTGATGGATTTTCAAAGCTTGAAAACATAGCTTGAAAACTTCTATAGAAGTCACGTGATTTACGCAACTCTTCTTGATGGTGCGATGTTCTTGAAAGCAAGCCATGCATGCCATTAACAAGGCTCTCTTTCTTCTCTTCTTCTTCCCTTCTGACCTTTGCCACTTGCTCGTCTCTGTCCGTCTCTCTTTCTCTTTTTCTTTGCTTCCTTCTTTCGTGCTTTCGGCAGTTTTCTTTCAGTCGTTCTTCCATTATGTATTCCCTTCATTCTCTACTTAGTTCGTTCTGTCGTTCTTTCAGTGCCTCTTGTCTTTCCTCGTTCTTTCCTTCTGTCCGTCCTCTCTGTCTTTCCTCGTTACTTTCATCTCTCTATCTCTCTCTATCTCTCTCTGCTTCTTTCTTTCCGTCAGTCCTTCTGTTCTTTCTTTCATCGCTGTGTGTCCCTATCCCTGTTCTGGCTTTCTTTCTGACTCTCGCCTTCCTTGCTTCTTTCCTTCTGTCTGTATTTATGTCCTTCTTTCCTTCTTCCTCCCCTTTTCGTTCGTTATTTTGTACTGTGTTTCTTCCTTTCTTGCTGGGTCTTTCTGTCGTTCGTTCTTCCTGTTAGTCTTCCTTCGTTCCTTTCTTTCGTTGATTCATTCGTGCCTTTGCCTCTTTCTTTGCGCGGTCCTTCCTTCCTTTCTTTCTTTCTGACGTGCCTTTCTCTCCTTTGCCCCTGAAACCCAGCCAAAACCAGAAACAACTCAGAAAAAACAACAAAACAAATGACAAACAAAAATACGGTACCCCACTAAGAGCATAGAGGCACCAGGAATCGTTAAACAAAGCAGGCTATTGGGCGGAATCCTCGGGGACTTGGCCGTGAGGCTAGACCACACCTTGAACCCTAAATTGAAACCAGACCGCCGAAAACCAAATTCCGACGCCAAGCGCCAAGGCCCAGTTCTTTGGGCGACAGTCAGACTTAGCTCCAGGTCGTTCAACCAAAATCCCACTCAATCAAATCTTGCAAGAAGTCATCACACAATGAGGGCAGACAGCCAAACTGTTACAATAAGAGCGACCATGAGGAAGAGTAACACCAGGCACGAGTTGAATCGAAGGCGCTTTCAAGAAAAGCAACCACAGAAACTGCAAAAAAGGAGCAGCATCAGCAGCAGCAACAACAGTAGCCGCCACAAGTGCCTATCTGACGACAACGAGGCGGCGACGTTGACTGCAACTGGCGGTGCCCTGAAAGGGCGAGAATCTGCCACTAATGATCGCTACATCACTACTGTGTCGACATAGGTTTCGCTTGTTCTTGTTGCATTGTGGCATAATATCAGGACAAGAACTAGGAAAGAAACGAGTAGGATGCTGGTGAAATGCGCAGTCTCCTTCTCCTGGACAATTCGGCTGCTGGAGCAACTGCCTGCAGGACGCTTTCGCCCCAGCAGTGGTGCTACTCTAGGCCAGATGTTGACTCCGGATGATGATGCAAGAAGTCTAGCAAGCCTTGCACCTGCGACGGAGCGTTCATGCCTTTCAACCTTGACGAAGTTCGGATTGACAACCAGACGAAGGGCACAATCAACAAGCTCAGCAAAACTGGACCCCTGTGCCTGCTGTGCACATCTGGCTCAGCGCCGTCAACAGCAGCTCAATTTCCTTGAGCTGGTGATCCTGATTTGCGATTGCCGTGCTAAGCTCCATAGCAGCTTCCAGCCCAGGCATGTCACCCTGCATCAAGGTTCCACGAGCTGGGCTCAGTTCGCTTTTCTACTATTGCCCCTGTGTTTTGGCAAAGTATTACTACTGCAGCCCTCCTCGCTTTCATGGACCGGAGGGCGGACATGACTGTTGAAAACCAACAGTACAGAAGCGAGCTATCTACTTTCCCACTGCCTGCCTCTGCCTCTGCCTCTGAGACTCTACCTCTACCTCTGCCTGCATACACATACACACGCTCATACATGCATACATACACATTCTGGCCTCTGGGATTTAGAGTTCAAGGGCATGATCCGAAGCCTACCACAAGCAACCTGAATGCCGAGTTTCCCGGCCCCCGCAAAACTGTGACCTCTGGGTCGTGGTACAGCTACTGAACCCCAATCACAAGCAGGCAAAGCGAGTCTCCATCATGTCTGTCGGCCGAAATCTGTCAGAGGAGACGGCGTTCACAGCAGCATCCGCAATAGACTCCAAGAAGCCGTCGGTGGGGTCCTGACAACTTCCAGCATATTGTCTTGTCTGGAAGAATCCTCAACCCCAAATGTGCTACGTCTCCTAAAGCCTGTAGTGGAGTAACCTCACGACCCTGTCCGCCCACCTCGGAGCGCAGCGCAGCCAGCATTGTGGTCATGAGCCCCAATGATCCAAGCTTGGCCAAATGAGGCAGGATGGGCCACAGCTTTCCTTCGAAGGGCTCAGGGTTCAGGCTTCAATCTCTTTAGTTTCAAGGCCTCGGATTCCTGTTCAGAACCTTGATGCCTTTAGCATCAAGGGCGTTACGAAGGCTGTTCGACACGCAGTCCTGCTGCAAACAGGACGTGTAGCATATTGTCCATCTTTGGATGCTTCGGCCAGCTGAGATGATGTTCTCCCCACCCCCGTGCATACCTTCTATAATTTAGGGCGTATATACACAGGAGTTAAAGTGATTTAGAGGGGTTCTTCAATCAAAGGCTCCTTCGTCCAAGGTACTATTGTTGTTGGTAGTTTCATGACTTCGGCTACTACGAGAACTGGTGCTTGTGATGCAACTACACACACTAGTGCTACAGCGGCACAATGCTAAGGGCGAAAGGGAAAACGATCGGCGGCGCCCCTGCTTTTGGCTGGATTCTGCAAAGTAGAAAGTACTGGAATGAAAGCAAACCGCTCATTCGTAAGAATTCTCTCATGCGGTACGGTTGCATGTTCGTCGGTTCTTTTCGTGACCATTGGACGCAGGTCTGCATGAAATGCATACAATGAGCACCAGGATGTGGATTGGAGGATGTCAGGCAAGACCGTGGCCATAGCAGCCATGCTGCGAATCGCCATGTGCACGTCGGGGCCAACAAGCATGCCTTGAACGGACTTCCTGCCAGGTGGAGGGTTTGTAGATGGTTGAATCGAGCCTGCATGCACCGACACTTGGAGAAGCTTCGACTCAGTTTGCTCCCCTGAAACGATAGGGCGCCATTCAGGATGGACTGCACAGTCCCAGTTGACCTGTCTCTGCAAATCAGTTCTCTCCCCCACATTGCCTGGCATAGATGAACACGACCTCCAACAGCCTTGCTCATGTGCCAATACTGCTGGAACTCTGAGTGTGTGTATGTGTATGTGTATGTGTATGTGTATGTGTATGTGTATGTGTATGTGTATGTGTATGTGTATGTGTGTATGTATGTATATATATATGTGTATATATATATATATGAAAATTTGACAGCCGAATCCATACATGAGGCGGTTGCCGACGTGTTAGCAGCTTCCTGCGAGATTGTCAGCCCCCCGCCATCAAGCGTTTATCCACCCTGGTCTCTTGGATCCACAAACTCAAACCCGAAGAATGCCTTCCGAATGAGCCTTCCTGCGGATGTTCAGAACAAGGCCCGCAACGACACGAATCACCATCAATGCATATACCTATAGTCTCCATTGCAGTTCCTTTTTGGGGTTACCTTCTAAGATCCGTAATATAGATTTGGTTAAACCAAAAAAGGGAACTACAATGGAGACTATAGGTAGGGCCTGAAATGAGCAAAGTGGCATGTCCACATCATGGGCCTCCAGCTTCAAACTCGTCTCTAGCGCTGCGAGCAGAATGGCCTGGATGCTTATAATCCAAAACTTCGAAACGTGATATGGTGTCCTTTTTGATGAGGACTACTTGGAGAGTGCTGCTGGCAGGTATATGCATATACAGGCTCATGGTTTACGTATACCACCTCGACCAACTGGATTTTTAAGGGCTATAGAAGCAAGATGCTCCACTTTGTAGGGCCGGGGAGATGACAGTTGTGCCTCTCGGAGCCGAAACATTCACTGCATCTCAGGCATATGTAGCACATGGCGATTGGTGCAAGCAGGTGTGCAGACGTAGAAGCGAGGGGACTGACGCAAGTGAATTACCGGAAACATGCATGCGTCGCTGATGGGAAGTGCATGCAGCGTTAACAGTTCATGTGCTGTACGGAAGCAGCATGTGATTTTGCTCTATTATGCCTTAAGCATGGACGTGCATGGCAAGAAAGCTTTTTGAAGGTTATATTTTCGGATCCTTCTAATATATTTAAACTGCCTAGGAACCCCTACAATCAGCCACGTGGCCATGAAGGCAGAAACAGGCAGCTTAAGTACTTAAGTGATTAGTCGATAGACAAAGATCGGCTTCTGCTGCACCCAGGCAGTTGCTGTAACACCCTACAGGATGCAAAATAAGTTTCCTAATCACTGGTTGTACTTCAGCATCTGCATGCAAGATCTTAAACCCTAAATCCTAAACCCTAAACCCTAAGACCCTGAACCCTAAGCCCTTCCAGTCGATTTGGATCCAGTGACATCGTGGCCATACGCTTGACAAGCATCCGGGCCGAACCACCTGCATGGCAGGCCACCGCCCTTGCTAAGCCATAGGAAGTTCAACTGCCACTGTGCCTGAACGACGCTAACTACTGGCCTTGCAAGAACAAATTCAATACTAATGGTTTCAACACAGTTTTTTCGGGTTTCATCTCGGGCTACACTCCCTTTTGTACTCTGAGCTTTTCGAGTTTATCGAGTGTGGGGTTTGCGGCTTTCGGGCTGACGCCTTTTTCTGACTGTCATCCTTGGGTGCTGACTGCATACACTGATCCCAAGACCCCTGAAAGCCCAGTCAATTCGTTGACTTGACAACCACTGCTTGGGATCCGAAGCACCGCCCTGCCTGGCCATGTCCTGTCCATCTACTCGGCAAATCTCGCGCATCCGCTGCCACGGATCGTGTCCCGATTCTTGGCGCCCGCCAACCTGGGCTTGCGCCATCAGGGAAGAAGATTGAAGATGTATGGCTGCACCCAAACCGCCAACCGAGGGATTTGAAATTGGAAAACTGAAGCACGTGACAGTGCAGAAACCTCGAGCTATCTCAGCAGGCCCTCCACCTCCTAACAACAGACAGGGCCTCCGTGAGGTTCATTGCCTTCTCGAAGAAGTCATGCCAAAGGAGTGAATAAGGACAGCGAAGCCGGCGTCGAAGAGTGAGCCGGGCCTCCCAACAGTTCGCAGCTCTGCCACCCTGAACTTCCGGATCTAGGGCCTACTAGGGTTTCGCAGGGCCGTCAAGATTAAGCCATTCAGCACAGTAGGCTCAGTAGGCCGTACTACTGTTTTGCCGAGCTGTCCAAGACATCCGGTAGGACACATCGTACAGCCGCAATGAATCCGCAAAATGGCAGCGATATCCACAACGTCGATGCCGCTAGGATATAGATTCTAATATAGATAAACTACAGCTTGCGGCCTGTAAGTCTCTCTACGCAAGGCCTTAATGGCCATATGATGTCCGGGTGGAAACTCACCGACTCTCGGATGTGGGGCTAACAGGAATCACTCCGGTCAGAGCTGCGGAGGAACAAATCCGGAATTTCGAGCCTCTTAAAGACTAAGAGGCTGCTCTGTACACTAGGATCGGTCTCCAGTGTGTCAATGAATGCCAGAACCGGCAGCTTGAGTCCCTTTAAGCGGAACCTTGTGAAAGCCCTGCTGGTGTCGAAGTCTATGGGCAAGGGTACAAATGAACAACCTGCAGCCCACTGTAAGGAAACAGGCATGTGATGCGACGCGAGAACCTGTGGTATGCGTCTTCGCTGAAGCCTCCCGCCAAATACCTGAAACCCGACAGTTCGAAAACCAGGACTTTGCTGGAGATGTTGCACATTTTAGCTGCATTGAGACACTGCTTATATGCTGTTTAAGCTTTAGATGCTCCGCATCTTTCTTTTGCACCGAGACGTGTCAAGGTACCCGGCATACATGGATCTACCTCTATCTTTCACTGTCAAAACTAGCAGGACCCTTCAGCAAAGCCACCATCCGGTTGAGGAGGTTGTCGGCTTCAGTGTCTTCCTCCATGATGCTCTGGAAAACCTCAAAGAACCCATCCTGCAACCCCGTCCGAAATCGCTTAGGGTCTATAGGGTTTCGGATTCAGCAGCTCGATCCTTCCATCAACGGGGTTTCTCACATGTACAGAGATTCAGGATGAGCCTCCTTTCTCTCTTGGATCTCATTATGAAAGACCTCCTTCAATGCTGCTATCCTTGCTTGGGAGCTTTTTGAGAGGCTTTTGAAGGCGGAACGATAGAAGACAGACCGGTCAACGAAAGAATGTCCGTCACGTGTGGTCGTTGGAGGCTGGGGCCTGTCCCCCATTTCATGACATTTCGGAAATCCTGCCTATCTTGGTTTAGGCTGTTTGAACTTAGGATTTGGAGGGCTCTGGGAGTGCTGTTTTACGCTGATCGCGTTTCACACTTTTTCTCGGCTTGTCGGCTGACTACTACTTTGCGAGCTTTCTGGCAAAGTTTAAGAGTTCTAAACTCAAGCATCTGATCCTATTTAAAGCCAAAATCCTAAACGCTAACCCCTAAAACACGAACCAGCACCCTCAAGCAGACATGAGCCAGCCGCAGGGTGTTTCCGGTAGGAGTTCCAAGTGCGGCTTAGGGTCGATGGTCGAGTCCACAACAGAAAGGCAGGCAACTATGCCCGATTTTCTCGTGATCTCGTTCTTCAGCTTGCTTGAGCAAACTGTTAGACTTAGGTCCTACACCCCAAAGATTCCAAAGGCTTCATGCTGGCCTGCAAGACACTCTCACGGCTCTTCAGCAAGGGCACAAACCCGGAATCCCCCTTTTAAGGTCCATATATCCGCCAAAAAACCCTTAGGACACATATTTCGCCAAATACCCGAAACCGTACGAAACCCATGGCAAAAGAATCAATCAGGTAAAAAAAAACACTACCACGTTTAACCAAATGTGCTTTGAGATCCTACTGTTTCTCTGCTTTTTCGGAACCTAGTCAGGTTTGCGCGCCTCGCTTCGGAGTGTTCCCTGCCAGAGTCGGAGCAGCGCTTCACTCTGCGGCACCGCGAAGGATCCGGCTCCTGACTCAGGGTTTGGGGGTTTAGGGTTTAGGGTTTAGGGTGTAGATTTTGGGGGTTTTGGGGTTTTGTAGGAACCCCCTTAACAGGAACCCAAACCCTATAGTACCCCTTAAGGGGACCCTCCTTTAGAACCCTATGGGAACCCCTTTTAGGGATGTTCTGCGGGATTTCATCAGGCTGTGTTTTTGCTGTCTTTGGTCCCGGGCAGGCCCCAAAACTCACTCCTCGAAAGGCTTACGAAGCTTAGGGTGCTGGTGCTTTAGGGAAATCTACCTCCGGATTAAGGATGACATGTTTGGCTTTAAATGCTTCATGGATTGGTGAGTTTTGCACAGCATGTGTAGGGTTAAGGAACTGTGTTTGCAATCATTGGCAATAGCAGGGACGTCCAAAGCCATCCTGGCGAAAAGCAGCCTGACACGAACCGAGGACAACGACATTAGGTAACTGTGCGACAAACCCCAGAAAACCAAGGAATATCGACGTGCTGAAGCAGGAGTCAAACGGCTTCGGTTGAGATCTCTTAAGGGCCAGTTTCTTCAGCTTCTCGCCTCTTGGAGTCCCACAGGCACAGTGGCTGTTCATTGAAATTACAGCAAGATCTTCAGAATCCTATCCCGCAATAACCAGGAATCCCTTCCATCAATACTATTAAAGGGGGGCCCTCCCCCAATCAAAAACTCGAAAAACGTCTATTCTGAGAAGGGGCTGTATCTCTGATGTCACATCTGCAGGATCTTGCTCATGCTCGTGCTCCTGCTCTTGCTGTTGCTCCCGCTCTTGCAGTTGCTCCTCCCTTCGCTCTTGCTCTTGCTCTTGAATCTCCATATAACTTCCATCGACGCGGATGATTTCATGTGTCCCGGAAAGTGTTGTTAGAGGGTGGGGGGGACCGGGGGGGCGAGGTCGGCATGAAATCAAAGGGGGAAGGGACAAAGCCCGCAAAGCACTCCCACACTCCTCCGAGCCATGTGTGCCTAAACCCTAAACTCTTAAGTGCGGGCCTGTGCTTCCGATGGCGACCCATTGGCAGAAGCGCTCGATGACCTTTGCCAGTGTCGCCTCCAGTTGTCGAATCTGGGCCTTCCTCCAGGGCTTCAGGGTTGAGGCTTTCGGCTTCGAGCTTTTTTCCCTTGTTGTGCTACCTTAAACGAGTTTCTGAAACGACTTTTGGATTTCAGTGCTGCTGCAGTAATTAATAAAGTTTCGCTGCTCTAACTCTGAGCAAAACCCGGCGAGGCTTGACCTATCCCTGACTGGGTGAGACATGCTCAAACAGGAGACAAGCAGGTTCCAGGCCTTCCTGTGGTTTACTTCTTATCCTTACTGCCCATTCGAACATGGGCCATTGGCTTCAGCTTTGAGCTCAAAGAAAGGGTTTCAGCACTCATAACTGGGACAAGCCTGGCTGGGGATTAAGGCTTTTTCCCTCCCACCAGGCTTAGGGACTGGGATTTAGGCATCAGGGCTTAGAAGATCTAAGGTCTCAGGTTACTTACGGCACGGGGTTGCTGATCCGCTCCAGGCCCACACACCACTCAAATGCAGCCAATGGAGTCGGCATGCCCCGGCCCCTACTGCCTCCATCCGCCCGGTGTGTCATGCCTACTCTGAGACAGAACGCTTATCTAGCAGCCTTTCGGCATCTTGATTTTTCCTTGTCGACACCTTAACTGATTAACCTTTCCCCGTACTTCGACTCATGCAGGAGTTGCTCGTTTCTCGCTTGGGGTGTCTTATTCACCCGTGCGAAACACTCATGAATCAGCATGCTCCAGAACGACAAGGGAGAAAGGACAAGGACGCTCCCGGCTACATCCCACCTGAAGGAGCCCGCACGGGCAATCGCGGAGTGACTCAGCTTGGCCTGTAGCAAAAGTTCCGAATTCCGGCTTCGAGCGCATGGTTTCAAGAGGACAGCTCAGACTCAAGCCCGGTCACCAGCGATGCTTGTACGAATTGGCCCCCTTGATCCGTTTTGGGAAAACTGCTGCCTGCCAGCCCTCTGCCAAGTCCGGCACATTCTGCAGCCTCGCCGTTTACGGAGCAAAGGGCTGAACATTGCTAGCTGCTGCGGTACATGCTATAACAGCTCCGTAGCCTTGAGAACGTTTCGTCTGCAAGCGCATAGCAGCAGAAAACTAAAATTAAAGCATACTTTGCCAGTGTATTGGGGGATCAGATCTTCTGCAACGGGATCCTTCTAAGTTCTAAGCACAATTACCGATGTGGTAGTCTACTGTCGTTATGTAGACATACAGTACAATAGTTTGTGAGTTGGACCACTTCGAAGGGATTTTGGGCAAGAGGCCCTCGGCAGGAATGATCGCTGTAGTAGATCAGCTCCTCCTGGAAAGAGTTCTGATCCACAAGGGCGAGCAGATCCAATCTGTTGGCCTGGATCCTTGACTGTCTCACGGTGTAGAGCCAGGTCTGCATTGCGGTTACAGGACGAGTCACGTACTCTGACCGTAGATTCTACATTCTACATCCATTTTTTTGAAAGTTGCGCTGCGCTTTTCCAGTCACAAAGAGTGTGTTCGATTCAGGTCACAGTGTCAACAAAGAACCCCTAAATCCTAAACTTTACAAAGACCTCCAACTAACCCACCCAAGCGTCAGTTCGTGGGAGTCAGCGGTCTGAGTTCGCAGGGGTACGACGGCCAGCCGCCAAACGTTCTTCTTCACAATATCCAGCAGCAAACCAAGGGAAACGATCCTGGGTCTTCCTAGCAATTGAGACTCTTCAGTTTGTGGGGAAGCCCAGCGGCTTTAGTTTAGTATCGGCTGTTCGTACGGTATAGCCTGGTCAATTGAATATTATGCTTGCCTCTTGTTCTCTTGCCAGTGTCCAAAGGGATCCGAGGATCGTGGACCAGTTGCCATCCGTGTGAGTCAGAACAGTCTCCTCCCACGGTACAGGAGGTTCAAGTTCATCCAACAAGGCCACAGAGAAGCCAGCTTGCCCGCTGCAGTGCAAAGGCACATGTATGTTTCGGCTGACCACCAGGTGGATCACGAGAAGGACCCACTTGATGGGATCCGAAGAATTCCGCCGGCAATCCATCACCATCTGCATGATGTGCTGCATCATCCGTCCTGTTTGTTGACTGCTTGAATCGAGAGAAGCCTGGAATACGAGAGCGCGCTGATTTCCATGAAAAAAATCCTGACAGGGATCGGGCGTAAGTAAGGAACCTAGGTCTTGTTGACGACACGACAGAAACGACCTCATTCTTTCGCACACTTCGCACACGGCTGTGGGTTCCTGCTGGCTGGAACAATACAAGACTACACCTCCCATTCCAGAGATAGTTAGGTACCTCCCTGGCTTCTTGAGCTGTCCTGGCCTCGATGTGACGTCGGGCTTCCGCCGCAGAAGTGATACTGGAAAGATTCCTGGGTTGTCTTGCTAGCGAGACCAGATTTTCTAGGTGCAGTTAAGATAATAATGTTCGTGTCAAAGTGAGGCAACACATGCATGGTTCACTGTGTAACTTAAACTAGGTTTCTGAACAAGATCTCCCTTATCACCTCACAAAGCCCTCATAAACAACCCAGAGTCAGAATCCGTGCGGAATCCGACCACTCCGGCGGCAAGAAAGGGTTCAGCTGCGTCTTGGCTGAACTGAAGGTGTACAGGATCCAGTCCAACCTTGTAGTGGGCAGACTTAGAGTTCAGGCTCCAGCCTGAGAAAGCTTGGGAGAACAACTCGATTGTCAGATCGGAGACGCGATTGCGAAACCTCAAAGCTTTGCCACAAACTCTCGAGCGAAAACCGGCAGACTGACTCTAAACTGCAACCACATGAAGCAAAACAACAACACATCATGCTCTAAGAGCAGTCAAAGCGATGGAGCTCGGGATCACGGGCAAATTCCAATTCAAGGTCCGATCGGCGTCGGTTGATCTGGTGCCCTTTCTGTTGGGGGCCGTTGAGCTCATCGGTCATGCCTGAGGCCGCTTTCCCTGTTGATTTAGGCTTACGCATCAAATACCCTAAACCCACAACCCCTCAGTCTTTTTACAGGCAGCCTAAACCCTAAACCCCTAAACCCTAAACCCCTAAACCCACTGAAACTTCAAACCCTAAGACCCCAAGGCCCCCAAGAACTTCTGAACTCCTCATAGGCAGAGAAGCACGTAGCCGTGGCTCATGGCTTCAGCAAGGAAGTCGGGGAGGGAGCCATGTGCAGATGGCCTGAAGCAGTGTGCAGGACTAACACAACTCAGGCTTAGGTCCATCCTTCCGGGTCTGTTTGTGCAGTTTTTACATGGGTTCTTTGAGGCTCTATAAGAGCTTTACCTTAGACAAAAAGGGCCATATTGGTACATAACTATAGTCTAGCCCGATCTAGCGAAGCCTTTCTTTTGGCAAGGTCAAAGTGTGAAGCAGAATATCATGCCTACTGAACAGTGGTAGGCACGTAGACATGGATGAATCCTGATAAGGCGGAACACACAAGCAAGCTAGACAGCTACACGCAACCTGCGAACTGTAGCTAAGCAGAGCAGGAAGCCGAAGGCAGGGCACTAGCGTGATACAGAACGAAGGAATACAGCAAAAACCGGTTTAGGGTCTAGGGTTCAAGGTTTAGGGCTGACAGGACATCAAACAGTTGTGCCAAACTACATCACGATGCAGCTGCATCGCGATGAAGCAGCATACTGTGAATATCATCCCATCTAGAATCTCTGAGTCCTCTGGCCATACGTAGAGATCACATGCCTACTTTCGCCAAGTCCAGATGAAACTCTTGAGAGATTCAAGGAATTTGAGACCTATATAGCTCGTGCAACAGGCCGCCAACACAGGAGGGTTACATGCACGCCCCTCGCGTGCCCTGACCGGACTTGGCTTCCACGAGCAGCTGTGGACTATTCAGAATCGTGGAGTCTATGTTCTGTGATTTACGATTTGGACATAATGAAAAGTATAACGCCTGTCGCCTTTACTTCAACAGCTCGGAAACTGAAAAAGAACCCGATGGCGAAAAACAGGATGTGCCTCCAGCCGCGGGTGTCTGGCTTTCCGGCACAAGCCCTGGAGTAGCGGCACCAGGCCTGTCCGGACTAGGGTTTAGGATTCGTTCAAAGCCGGACTCTTTGAGGCTTGTAGGTTTGAGCAGCAGGTTCACGGGCTTAGTGCGCCAGGGTGTCTGTGCATCGCGCAGGACTCTGACACATGAGTAGCCAACGCACAGCCACAAAACCCTTACCCTCACACCCCCCGACAGCTCCAAGCCCTCTCTCCGAAAATTGCAACCCAGCACCCTTTATGTTAGAACCCTAAACCCGGAACCTTTACACACAAAATGCCAAAGCTGGTCCTAGACCAACAGCAAGAGGCCCCTCCTCACCCTAAACCCTAAACCCCCAAACTCGCGGCCTTGGGCATGCAGGTCGCCAGCAGCTGCTGCTTTGACCAGTGAAGGGCATCATCGGGCTGCATATTCCGTCTCTGTGCCGCGAGCAGAAGCCCAGGAATTGACTGATCCTTAGCAGTTTGTGTCATGTTTGGTGAGACAATCCTTCTGCTGGCGAGTCTACCTACAAGCGGCTTGGCTGAAACAGCAAGCCGCACATATTCAAGTTCGAGGCGGCAGGAGGATAGATGCATTCACAGCCAAACAAACGGGTGCTGTGCTGCACGGGGAAGTTTGTACATGAAGGTATGCATGTATGCATTTATGTATGTACGTATGTATGTATGTATGTATGTATGTATGTACGTATGGTGTGGATGAATGAATGTAAGCGTGTACGAGGATGTACACATGTACGTGTGTTGTATAACATGGTGTGCACGCAACCGTTTGTACATTTGATTACTGTTGCACAAGTTATCGATTCACAGCTTAAGGTCCCTCGGACAATCTATATATATATATACATACATAAACACATATGTACAAAAAAGTACAAACACGTGTATGTACACATATATGAAGATATAAATATAAACATAGATACAAATATAGCCATAAAGATATACATACACACATATGTATATATGTGTGTGTGTGTGTGCGCCCGCGCGCGCGCGCGGGTGTGTGTGTGTGTGTGTTTGAATCGTGCATATATATATATACTAATATACACACATAGACATAGCCGAGTATTTAGGTTAATATTTGGGATGGAAAGCAGCTGGGGACTCTCCACTGCACACCTGGAGTCATCGTTCGTTGAACCATCGTACTCCAAACTGTGCAGGGTTCGCTTTCGTTGTTGCTTCCCATGTTCGTGAAGAAAGTCCAACGTACACGAATTTGCCATCATCTCAGCCTGTAGGACGCAACCGCAAGCCATGTGCTAGTAACTGCACAGGTTTACCGACATCTTCTGTCAGGGTGACATGTTCCAAGTTGTGCCTTTTTTGTAGTTGCGGATGTGAAAAAGACTCGTGGACGATTATTGCAAGATCTTTCACGCCCTCCCTTTCACCTTCACCAGTGCAATGTATGTCATTAATACGGCTTCGATAACGGTTCCCACGAATTGCCAGAAACCGCCGACCAAGCAACCAAAACAAACGCTGTGTGCGTGTGTATATGCGTGCACGAGCACATGAGCTTGAACATGTAGTACTCTGTATACTTATCTGTCTGCCTTATCCTTTCTGTCGTTCTTCTCTTGGCAGGGTGTGTACGATCCATATACCTACACGCGAGTACACTGGCTGCAGTAACTAAGATGTAGCTATCACCAGAACATGCTTCCCAGTTAGCTTTGATGCACCGAGGATCCGTGAAGCCCAAAAAGGCAGAGGAGGCCAAGGATGTGCCACTCATTTCGGTCACTTCTGAAACAAACGCCTGGAGGAGTGGCTCCAGCTCCTTCAACTTCTCGTCCTGCTAGGATGACGGCTCCAAGATGTTTGTTTACTTTGTCTGTGGCGTGCTTCGAAAAATCGCGCATGTCCTACGAAACCCAATGTGCCTCAAGTCGAAAAGGCCCTATCCACAATGCAAGCCCACAAACCACCAATGCTACACCCTGACGCCTCAAACCTTCAAGCACCAGGTCCTTTAGGAAGCTGTGGAAATCGACCTGCTGTTTCTCGAAACGGTTGAGAAGCGGAGCCTCATAAAGAGCAGCCTTTTCCTTGCAGCAGCTTGGACCGATCAGATAAAGGCAACTTTCGTTGGTTGAACTCATAACAAGTGCCCTGCCCTAAATCCTAAACCCTTCAGCCTAATACCACAGCCCTCAAGCGAGCTTCCGCATCGGCCACGACGATGCATCGAAACGCTGGATGCACGTCGCACTGGCGACTTTCGGCACCGATGGCCAAGCGGCAAAGTGTTCGCCCCAAGGCCTGCGAGTCGCTTCATGTAGTAAGTACATCATCTTAAAGGGTTTAGGGTTCCTTTAAGGGTTTAGGGTTCTTTTAAAGGTTTAGGGTTCTTTCATTGTTTACATCATGTTCTGTTTCACTATAGTGTACTGTATTGTTGCCCGCTATAGTATATTACAGAGTACTACATGGTTTTTCCCTCTTGCATACTCTATCGCTCGTGCACGACACGCACAAGGGGGTCGGATGGAAGTCCGAAGGAGAGCTTTTCCATGTATGTCGTCTGTATAGATACATATCATAACATTCTGCAGGGCCACGGGTGGGCCTGTTGGCTTGCAGAATGGCTTGGCTTGAGATGCCTTTTCCAATGAAAACAACATGATTCTAAGCAACTGTGGACTTGTGGGATGGCAGCTCGGATTGTCAGATTTCTTGAGTTTTTGTGTTTCGGCCCCGAAGCCTGTGTGTAGAACTGGTTGAGCATGTCGTATAAGGACTCGTAGACATCCTCCGCATGCACAAGCATGCTGCATCCGCCCACTTCCATAGCCTGCTTGATGTGGGCAATCTCGCGATATATCGCCGCTACGGATTTGTCCCCTGGAAACGAGGACCCAAAAATCACCGTTGCTGGCTGATCCTTCAGTTCTTCTTGCAGAAGTAGCGAAGCCGTGGCAGCAGTAGGTCCGAACACCATCAGGTGCCTAGCGCCGATCTGTGCACGTTCTGGCACTGCCAAGTCCTGTAGGTTTCCTTTCAAGAGCTCAAGAACAGGCAGACGCATCAGTGAGGCGGCTGCAAAGTCGTCTTGCACCAACGCACGGCAGTGCTCGAAGAAGGGTTCCAGCATGACCTGCTGCGGGGTTCGGATTGCTTGGCTTGTGAAGTGTAAGGTTTCCGGGTCGGACTGTCCATTGGGCTTCAAGTTCTTATGCCTTGCACTGATAAAACATGATAACACATACATAAATGTCTAAACAACATGATCTACAGACAAAAAGTCTTTACTGACTGAATCTTGTTGTCGTTACTATATATGAAAAAGATGTCGTATCATATATCCAGCAGCACTGGAAAACTCAGGGCGAAGAAACGAGGCTGCATTTGCACTAGGTCAGATCAGTCAGGCAGCAATCGCACAGCAGACACTACATTTTTTTGGCAAGATTGCAAGCCCCCTAAACCCTAAACCCTAAATTGCAAGCCCCCTAAACCCTAATCCCAAAGTGCCTCTGGGATCAGCGCCTCAGGGATGCCACCGAAGGAACGCTGCAGTGCATCCACCAAGAGGCTCGGTGGCCTGAACGGGATGTTGAGCTGCTCAAATTCAGGCTTAGGGTTTTTGGGGTTTTGGGGTTTAGGGTTTAGGGGTTTAGGGTTTATGGTCTGGGGGCTTAGGGCTCAGAGTTTAGGGGTGGGCTCAGGGATTTGCAGGGGGTTACGACCGTGAAGGGTCAACATTTCGTGGTCCATAGATGTAGGACTTTTCGGGTTTAGGGCTTGCGGTGTGGCGTTCAAGATTGACGGTTTATGATTCTTGGCTGTAGGGTTTGGGATTTCGCATCCTTAGATTTAGGCTTCAGGGTTAGACTCAGGTTTAGGGTTGAATTCGGGCTTAGGGTGTGGGGTGTCGCTCGGGTTAAGGATCGAGGGCCTAAGCTTCTTACTACAGTCGTCAGACTCATCAGAGCTGGAGTCAGTTTTTGGAGCTTCGCTGATCATGATGTTCAGTTGTTGCGGGTGCCAGAGTTTACATCGCTTTTTTTTGGTAGTTCTTGAACTCTGTGAGGTTGAAAGTGTTGGAGTGTAGTTCTAAGTAAGATATGGGCTCGGTGCATATGAAAGCCCCGAGGGCGCTTGCCTGCTCCCATGTCCAACTACTCAGGCCCTGTAAGAACCTGTGGTAACCGAGGAGCTTACGGTAAGCTCTGGATCTCCTTCTGGATGCGTGTTGACTTTGCAACAGTCTGAAAGTTCAGCAAAACTTCAAGCACTTGATACGGTATGACTCGAAGGATTCATTCCTGAGTCATGCTCATCTTTCAAGCTCCTGAAGCATCTGGAACGTGTCAAAGAGAGCTGGGCATTCAGTTGCCGGGGGCTACATACAAAAGAAAGTACAGGCACAATGCAAGTAGTATAAAGGGTACACTTATGCACATATCTACACATACATTACATTACATTACATTACATTACGTTGCGTTACGTTACGTTACGTTACGTTACGTTACAGTACATTACAGTACAGTACAGCGCAGTACAGTAGCAGTACAGTGCAGTACACTACATTACATTACATTGCGTTGCATTACATTACATTACATTACATTACATTACATACATTCGCAGTCTACAACACCAGACTGACCTCAAGAACAAGCACAACACCTGAGCCTCAACACTCCAATCTCCCAACATCTGCATATAAGGGTTGTAGGTTGTAGTCGTAGGCTAGTACACGATCCAGGCGTTGGGGTAGAAATGCTGTTTTCACGAAGGGGCTGTGGCAGCCGCAAAATTCAAAACATAAACTTCTCCGAAACTTAACCGTGCTTCAGACCGACAGCTCGATCCCATCCCACGAAGTACGATCGGAAAACGTTGCCAAAGCCCTGAATCGCAAACCCCAAACCCGAACAAAACACAAAGTCTTCCAAGGAGCAACTCCACCGCAGCCGCTGGCAGTTTCCGGTCAAGAAGCTTCACGAAGGCGTAGAAGTCCTGAGCGTGGGGTGAAAAAAGGGGTCTCTAGAATCTCTGAATCCCGTAGATATAGAGTAGAAGCCCAGAAGTTGGAAACCCAATAGCCTCAATCCTTAAGAGTAAAGTATAGGGAATCCCAGCACTACTTGTACTTAATCCGGTCCCCAACTTTTTGGGGCTGACTGTAGTATGGACGAGAGCAGGCTATGCTCAAATACTTGTTCGAGGTATTCCGGCCTTTCAACAAACTCGGGAGGATGGGGTTTGAGCTTGAAGCTTCGGGCCCTTGGCTCTCATATACACTGGTGCACATGCTCCTGATAAATATTCTCAGTGCCAAAGACTCGGGGTCCACTTTACTAGTTTCCCTGAGCCCTCAACACCTCAACCAGGTAGCGCACCACGCCGACACTGTGCTGCGCTTCGCGGTGCAACTCCTAATTCCCCACAAGATTTCAGGAAAACAACACAATTCCCACCGAGAACGTAATCCTTAATCCCCACTTGCAACCTCAAGACCCTTCAAACCAAGACCGCTGAATATTCAGTAGGGCACCCCCAACCTCCTATTTTGCACCCTGCTATTGAACAAAATTTCCGCATGCAACACTGAAACAGTCAACACAAACTCCAAAACCTGAGTCCAACCCTAAACTCTAAACCCAAAAAGCCCTAAGCCCCAAACCTTAAGCCCAAAGCCCTACGCCCGCTAACGCCGAACTTTGCCGAGGATCGCGGAGCCCTACGAAGTTCTTGAAGCCATGTTTTGCAAGTCGCTTGCACATCTCCTGAAACTCTGGGGGTTTAAGGGGTTTTAGGATTTCAAGGCCCTAAACCCTAAACCCTAAACCCTAAAACCCACCCTAAACCCTAAACCGGGCATAAGGTTCAGGCCTTGGCGCTTCGGGCTTAGAGGCTTAGAGTTTAGGGCTCGGGACAGTAGAGGTTTCGTGGGCCTGGCATGTTTGGACTTTGGTCTGAGACTTAATGTTGGCGCTGGCATGTGAACAAAAACAGCATTTTTTATGAACTGCAGCTACCATGTGCTGTAATGCGGCAATTTCACAACAGGCGCGATTCCCAACACAAACTCTACACTCCGGATCCTGAGTATAGAAACGACATCCGCATTTTCTGAACCTCCCAAGTCTTCATTTAGGGTTTAAGGTTTAGGGTCGATGCTCCAAGAAGGCATCGCCGAAGGCGTCCAAGTGATGTGCCAAGATCTGGGAGTCACGGCCGGAAGCCAAAATCGCCTCTGCCGTGCTCCTGAGCTCCTCCACAGGGCCTAGGGTTTAGCTTAGGCTTTTAGGAGTTATAAAGTTTGAGGGTTCAGGGTTTTCTGGTTTAAGGGGCTTTGACACTCACACTCGGACATGCCTGAAGGGTTTTAGGGTTCAGAGTTTTAGGGTTAGACTTTCGGGGCTCGGATATAACCCCGACCCGAATCTCTGTGAACGCCCAATGCCGTAGAAGCACTAGAAGCACTAGTAGGTCTAACTTAAAAAGCAACAGCGTCCTAAGCGTCGACTATGTTTGAAGTCGCATTCAGGATTGCCGGTTCTGCTGACAGAAGGCCACCCTTCCTGGTTTGGGGCTTCGTAGTTCGGAGTTCCGAGTCTGGAATGGAACATCTTGGCAACCAACCTCTCAGCACAAAGGAGGAGACTGAAGGATGCTTTGTTTGTGCAAAACCCCGACAGCTTTGGACTTGGCTGGTCTCAGAAACTATGCTGTTTCGTGGGTGTGGTATCAGATGGAAAGCTTTCCTTCTGACTGGGTCGGTTCAGCATTTCACCGTCCCTATGCCAGGTCCTGCCCCACGTCACATCCCAAACAGTTCCTAGCATGCATTATTCCTGAATCCCAAGGTGTCTGACATCAGCTCGAAGCCAAAGGGTGCTCGGAACCGGTCGGCTGCTGGGTGCTCCCAACTCGCAGTGCCCGGTGCATCACATACTTGCAACACGCCTGTTGTGTGTGACTTAGTTTCTTCTGCGCCAGGTCCACAAAGGACATTGTCAGTCATAATCTGGGGCGACGATGCAATCTAAAGTGCCCCAGTTCACGCTTTAGCTGGTGATGTTCTGGTACAAAGGCAGGGCGAACTAATTGATAGCATGCGGAGCAGTGATTGTTCCCTCCCCTCCCCCGCAGTCCAAATGCACAGTTCGCATAGTTGAGAAAAGGGAGCCTGTCATTGACCTGATGATTCCCAGCCCGGTAAAGCTCTTGCTGAAAGAAAAGGGGATCGACCTCGACTTTTGATGCTAACAGAATCTCCAGATTCGCTTCGTACCACTGCACCATGGGTGTCAAAAACCATTGCAGATGGCCCATCCCTCAGAACGACACCACTACCCATGCATACAGACTTACAGGCTCACAGTTTTCATTCCCGGCCGTGCAAGCCGAAGAGATGGACCAGTGAAGTCCCAAATCCCAACCCGTAACGTACACTGCTTCAATATCCTGTGGGGTAGCATCGCCACGGGATAGCAGTAGGCATCGGTTCATCTTCGCAGCATCCAGCGCCCAGTTCGATAAACCAACGAAGCTCACCTTCAGGATGCTTGATCCCCGTTGTGGTTTATTTATTGCTTGCAGGGTTTATGATTTAGATTTAGACATATAATTTCAGGTTCTAAGTTAGAACTCTCGGATTCAGGGTTGAGTGGTTTTGACTGGGGCCTACTGTTCGGGGCTTGGGGCGGGTTAGAGCAGCACACTGTCCAAGGGTTTTAAAGCATGACTTGGATCAAGTTCTTCAAACTCAGCTCTAGGTGAAATCCGCACTAAGCGACTCAAGCAACAGCTGGCTTCTGAGACAAGATGTTTTTTTTTTTTATGCCGTTTTCTGACACACACACACAGACAGAGACTTGGACTGTAAAGGTTGCCGTCAGGGCCTTCCTTTCCGGGTAATGGCAGCACCTGTCCACGGACCTCAACTCCCAAACTACTGAACGCCAAAACCCACACCTTATCGAAGTGCTAACCCCGCTACCGGTAACCAATGACAGGCTACAGGATTGCAATAAGTTCCCAAACCGTTCCGGGCCTGCTTTCCTGGCATTTCCAAAAGCTTGTGGAGCACCTCTCACGTCGGAAGAAAACCGGGCCCTACATTGACGCTGGGAGTTGCGG